GCCTGAAGCTTCTTTCCTTTTCCATCAGACCCACTGGGCTTGAGTGTTTTGACATCGCCACATTGCAATTGCTGTCACTGTCGCCTTCTTCTGGTAGGATTCCTCGCATTACTCCGGCTGACTTAGCTTGACCCCATGCCCAACCTCAGGAACACGCTGCCAGGCACAGGAAGGAAAGGAAAGTTCAGACATCCGTGGACTTGGATTTGGTCAGTGAAGAACTGTGTGCGCTGTAGGGCAATGCTGCAAGTACAACTGTGTGCTGTACATGACGGCTAGGATTACACAGCCCAGGCTCGATAAACACGGCCTCGGCGGCCCCACTCTGCTTCCACAGTCTGCACCTGCTCATCTACGGCCAACCCCAAACTGAAAGACAAACCCCAGGTCCCCGCCACCAAGTTTCTGCATTATTTTTACATACAGAGACCCCAGAGCAGTTATAAGTCGTGCCCCATGGCCACAGAGAGCTCTGCATGCTCGGCGGGAGGGCATCTCACCGGGAGAGCAAGGGGCAGCAGGTGCCTGCCAATCGCAATGCTGGCTTCAAATTTCTGTCACCCTTGGATGGAATGCCAACTTGGCGGTACGCAGCACAACAGCTTTGCTTTCTCGCAGGTGCCATGCATTCCCTGAGCCTAGCAAACTGAGAATGACAAGAACCAGCTTTGGGAAAGACTGTCCCAGGGACCATGTCTGGAGGCCAGCGTTGTGGTTCAGGGAGCTATGCTGCTACATGGGGTGTGGCTTAGAGGCACACGGCTCTGCTTCTAACCCAGCTCCCTGCCCAGATGCTCCGGAAAGCCACAGAAGATGGTCTAAGTGCCCAGCCACTGCCACCCCATGGGGACCGCAGGTGGAGTTCCTGGCTTCCGCCTGGACCAACCCTGGGTTTTACAGGCATCTCAGGGAATGAATCAGTGGCTGGAAGAGCTCACAAGTGTGCATGCTCTCTTTCTCACTCTCAAAAATAAATAAATAAACAAATAAATCTTTAAGAGAGAGAGAGAAAAGACCATGTCTTAACTTTGTAGCCGGGCTCGGCGCGGTGGTCTAGCAGCTAAAGTCCTTGCCTTGAACGCGTCAGGATCCCATATGGGTGCCGGTTCTAATCCTAGCAGCCCCACTTCCCATCCAGTTCCCTGCCTGTGGCCTGGGAAAGCAGTCGAGGATGGCCCAAAGCGTTGGGCCCTGCACCAGCATGGGAGACCTGGAGGAAGTTCCTGGCTCCTGGCTTCAGATCGGCACAACACTGGCCGTTGTGGTCACTTGGGGAGTGAATCATCGGACAGAAGGTCTTCCTTTCTGTATATCTGACTTTGCAATAACAATAAATAAATATATTTTTAAAAATAACTGAGTAGCTATAGCAGCTCATGGAATAAGTGAAGAGGCATTCTTTTTTTATTATAAAATTTTATTTTGACATTCTTTACACAGTTAATTAGGGTAAAAAGGTTCAAGGGCTACAGGAAAGTGGATAATACTAATATGTTTTCCATATTGTTACCTTCATGTTTAAAGGGGGGTATTAAGGGAGAAGGCCCACCCAATTTCCCACCCTCCCCAGGTCCCGGATGTAGGGCATGCTCTGAGGTTCTTGCTCAAGTGGTTTTGATATTGCAACAGTTATGAATTGCTGTCAATCTTGCCACTCCAAGCACTATGAGGTCTTTGAAAAATCCACTGATTGACATAGTGCATCATAGCTGAGATGGTTGGTTGACCTGTTCTGTCTTCTCTCTTTTCTTGGTTAGGGTTCTGAGTCCAGCATTTAGATTAGGAAGATCTCCAAAGAAACTTCTTGTATGTGCTAACAAGTACAGGGCCTGGCACCGTCCATCGCTCCAATCAGCTGGTGGTTGCAATTGCTGGGTTGGTTCTGTTTTCACTCCCGACTTCCACTGGAACCAATGGGTGTTGCAGTCCAACCTGGTTCTGCCCAGCACATACTTGGCCCTCACATAAACCAGTGGGAGCTGCAGCCTAGTTGGAGCGACCCACAATAACCCCCACCAGGTCCACCCCCTACCCTGGTTTGCCAGTAAGTGTAGCAGTAATCCAGTCTGTCCCACACCCCATTCCACCCCAGCTGCTATCTTAGTTTTATGTCCTCCTGTGGAAGTGGTAACCCAAGAGGGATGAGCCCACTATTTCCCTCCCAGGCCTCTCCCATTCCCAGATTCCAGCTGATGCTGCGTCTAAGCCCAAACAACCCTCGCCCACTTTAATTTTGTTTGCACCAGTAGGAATAATCCGCCCAGCCTGGCTTTTCCCTGATCTAGTCCACATGAGGCGCACAGGTGTGGTAGCTCTGCCTAGTCTGGTCTGCTCCCATCCCAGCCTATGCTCTCCTGCGGAAGTAGTTGTCCTGCAAAGGAACCCTCCCTTATTCCCCTGCTGGCTCTGCCCACTTCCTTTCTTGTTCTCAGGCTGGTTGGGCGCTGCAGTCCCTTCCAGTACAGGCAACCTCACCTCGGCATTCCATATTGTGCACTAGTCTTTGTTGCGACCGACCCTGGGTCGACCCACACTGGTGCCTGGATTTGCCAGTGGATGACATGGACAGATTCAGCCTGGTCTTGCCCCCACGTCTGCCAACTGTATGCCACTGTGTAGCTTTCCATGGCCTTTTCTGGGCTGTTTCCTATCATGTTTCTTGCGCTTACCTGCTGGGTCTGTGGCCTGCCAGAGGAGTTGCTTGGGCTCCTCCATCAGAACCTCTCCCAATGCCAGGTTTCACGCTTACCAGTGGGTCCATGAGCCAACCCTACTCAGTCCACCTCCTGTCATAGCAGGAACTGTGGCTTTTCCTGACTGGCCTTCCACCCAATCTGGTTCTTGCTATTGGATGTTCCAGCCCAGCCATGGTTTGTCCATACACACCTATGGCTCACACATGGCTCAGTAGGGGTTTGAGACACTGCCTAGTCCACCCCACATCTGCCCTGGTCCTCCAGAACACCAGGGGGAGTCGGGGTCCGGCCTGGTTCGGTGCATCCAATCCCAGTCCACACTTGTGCCAAGGGAGACTACAACTGTTTCCAGATCAGAACGCAGCCCCCCTTCCAGGCCACGCGAAGAGGCATTCTTGAAGCCAGCCTGCCCACTCATTCATTCGTCGGCTCACTCGACACGCCCCACTCTGTGGGATCACCTAGTTCCTGGGCAGCTGAACGCAGGAGCAGCACCCAAGGCAGGGAAGCTGAAGCCACACTCAATACTTTCACATGCAGATTAGCGTATTTTTGGTTGATCTGAATGTTCGTGAGAGATGTTCTTTAGGTCTGAGCTGGCACTATCATGGTGGCCATGCAGAAGGCTCACGGGACTGACAAACCGACAGGAAAGGTGGTCTAGGTTCCTCCCCTTCAGTCAAAGATCCTCCCCCGACCCCATACTCCTGCTATGCACGTGGTTCTAGCTAGCTGCTCCAAAGAAGCAAAAAAAAAAAAGAAAAAGAAAAAGAAAGAAGAGAGAGAGAGAGATAAAAAGCTTGCTTTTGGGGTAGGGGCAGTGTGATGGCTCAATCGGCTAATCCCCCATCTCTAAGAGTCAGCACACCATATGGCCTCCAGTTCGTGTCCCAGCTGCTCCACTTCCCACCTTCCTCTGCTTGTGGCCTGGGAAAGCAGCAGAAGATGGTCCTTAGCATTGGGGATCCTACACCCCATATGGGAGACTGGAAGCAGCTCCTGGCTTCAGGCAAGCCCCGCTGTTGCACCCATTCAGAGAATAAACTGGCAAATGAAAGACCTTTTTTTTTTTAAAAAAAATCTCTCTTTTTCTCTGTAAATCTGCCTTTCCAATAAAAATAAAATTTTAGCGGGGAGAAAAAAACCTGTCTGGCTTTGAGTCATGGCTAGTGGGGGGGGAGGTTGACTGGGCAAAGCAAAGCTCAAGGGATCTCGGGTGAAGCCAGCAAAGGCGGAGTATCACACAGCCATGTCAGAATCACGCGTGCACTGCGCGGGTACAATGATGCACAGGTGGGTTGAAGCCAGGGAACTAGAACTTGGGTGCAAGTCAAGGTCAGGTGCTGAAGAGTGACAGAGAGAGGGAGGGGCAGGGGAAGGAGAGAGAGGGAGGGAAAGAAAGATCTTCCATCCTCTGGTATACACTCCCAAACAAGTGCAACTACAGTTGGAGCCAGGAACTCCACCCAGCTCTCCCAGGTGGTGGAAGAAGCCAAGGACTGCCCCCTTCCCAGACACATCAGCAGCGGGCTGCACTAGCAGTGGAACAGCCAGGGCTAGAACAAACACTCTGACATGTGGCGGCAGCATCCCGGGCGGCAGGCTGACCCGCTGCCCCCTCTCCAGGCATCAGGGAAGGGGGAGGGAGGGCATCTAGAAGTCAGACACCAGCAGGGGAGAGCGTCAGCACACTCCATGCCGAGGCTGGCGAGGCCCTGGACATGCCGTGCTTGGGACAGTCGGAGTCACGGTTCTGTACGCCTGCAGACGGGGGCACAGGCCAGGGCCCTGGGGGTCCAGAAGTGCGTGCGTGGTCTACTTCCCAGCACAAAATGTTTCTCTCTTTTTTTTTTTGTTTTGTTTTAATTTTTAACGGTGCTTCATGGAAGATTTCTATTGCACATGGAAACTTTGGTTTGCTGACTCAAGTGTAAAATGATGCTGGCATCAGACTCTCCCCGAGCACAACCCCGGACAGGTGTCTCTCACTCCCAGACTGCCTTGGGTGCACCTGTTTGCGGTTTGACGAGCTGCTCGACCACCCTCACAGCTCGCTTAGGAAACTTACCACCTCGCCGAGGGTGGGAGAAGCCGTGGGTTCCGCGGGCACAGCCCGGCCTGCAGGTGCCGGTGCGAATCGGCTCCGAGCCAGCTTGGGGCTGGAAACCCGGGTGAGCAAGGAGCAGGGGTGGCGGGCGTGGCCTGCGGCGGGGCGTGGCCTGCGGCCGGTGGGCGCGGCCTGATCCGGTGGGCGTGGCGCGTGACGGGACGTGCGGGTGCCGTGGTGGGCGTGGCCTGCGCGCGCCTGCGCAGCCGACTCGACTCCGGGCGGTGGAGGCGACGCGCCGGAGGGAAGATGGAAGACTACCAGGCTGCTGAGGAGGTAGCCGCGGGGCCGGCGACGGGCCGAGCGCCGTGGGCGCGGGTGGGACCCGGCTGCCTGCCTGGCTGCCCCGCGGCTGACTGGGCCTCAGGCTAACGGGGCGGCGCCGGGTCCTGACGGGGCAGGCGGGGTCCCGGCGGTCCTGGCATCGCGGCCCGCCATGGCCCCGGACGGGGTGGCATCACCTCGCCCCACCGAGCGCGCGGGCCCCGGCTGGGAGGCCGCCTGCTCTTTGTCTGCCGAGCTCGCGGGCTCCGGGTGGGTTTGGGGGGGACCCGCCGAGAGCGAGCACCTGGCGCTTCCGGGGGCGCAGCCGGAGGACGATGTGGACGCGGCAGGGCTGCCCAGGCTTGCTTTGGGGGTGTCGGAAGCAGTGTGTTGGAGCTCGGTAGTAAAGGGAGTGACCAGCGGAGCGGCTCACAGGCTTGCACCGCGGGCAGCAGCGGGAGAGGCGGCTGAGGGCAGCTCCCGCACCTGCCGGCTGCTGTGCCAGTGTGTTGCCCAGGTCGAGGCCTGCGGGGTGGAGACCCGGCCTGTGCCGGACTTGACGCCCCTTCCAGAGCCGTGTGATGCGCTGTCCCTTGGGGCGTTTCCGGCCTCCACCCAGCCCTGTCCCTTCTCTCCTGCACGCGATGCTGTACTCTCCCCGGTCGTCCCTTAAAGTGCCCCTCAACCTCTTTTCGTGCTTGGAACCGGCGGGAGAGCCCCCCACCCTTCTGGGGGGCACTCTGCTTCGAGGTTGCCGTCATCACCTGGCAGGTGCAATCCCCAGGACTGCGGCTTTCCCTCCGTGTGCGTGTCCAGCCCTGTGGGTGTGGCCACCCTCCCCAAGGGCGAAGTCTTGGGGGCTGGCTGCACGAGCAGGGCTCTGCCCACCCCCCTTGCCCCTCTACACAGCACAAACTCCCCTGCTGGAGGAGAGAAGTCCACTGGCAGGGGCTGGACCTGTGTCCTGCCAGGAGGAAACGACCCCCAGGCAGCCCACCTCCCGGCCAGCCGGGGCTGAGTCCTGAAGTGGGACAGTGTTGGGGAAAGAATTACCAGGAACTAGCATTTACAAAATATTTTTAAAGATTCTATTAAACAAGTAAGTTGTATTTATTTGAAAGGTAGAATTAGGGACAAAGAGCTGTTCTGCTGGTTCACTCCTCAGTGACACCAGTGGCTGAAGCCACGCGCCAGGAGCGCCAGGAGTGCCCTGAGCGCCAGGAGTGCCGCACTGGCCTCCCAGGCACCTGGGCCACCCTCCAGTGCTGTTCCAGGCCCATCAGCAGAGCAGCCAGGCCTGAGCCGGTGCTGGTCCAAGGTGCTGGCGCAGTTTCCTAACTGTGTCTTAGGAACAAGTTGCTAAGTTGCAGGCCTCCCAGTCTGCTTCCCTGTGTGTGGGGTGGGGGCGGGGACTGCATCTTGGAACTATCGCTGGAGCAGATTCAGTTCACTTCAGTCCAGTACAAGCCCTGAGCCTGACGGCAGGCCGAAGGGGAAGGAGGCGCTCAAGTGCAGTTTCAGGTCTGGTCTTGGGGAGCAAGATTAAATCCATAGAGTGTGGGGCTTGCTGTGGACCTGCTGTGGGCCCGCCGGGTCTCCGGGCCCGGGCAGGCTCCTTGGCACATGGGCACTAACGGCATTGTCTTCCCGGCAGACGGCCTTCGTGGTGGACGAGGTGAGCAACATTGTCAAGGAGGTAAGCGAAAGCTGCCAGCTGCTCGCTCTGGCCTCGCTGTGCTGGGCCTGGGGAAGCTGCAGTGTTCTGCGCTGTCTGGTGGGGGGTCCCCAGCGTGACTGCAGCCTCTTCGTGGGAAGGGGCCGCAGACTGTCAGCTTGCGGTGTCAGGACCTGGCGCCTGAGTTTGGGGCTTGCTTAGTTGCTTCCTCCCATGGCTGGTGGGGGCAGTGGACACCACTCAGGAGGGGCATACCCAGCGAGGGAGCAGAGCTGAGCCACGCTGCTGGGGCTCAGACGCTGGACTGGGAGGACCCCACACATCATAGCATCAGAGTGGAGGGCAGAGGTTCCCCCTGCCAGATCTAAGTGCCACCGGATAAGGTGCTGGGAGGCACTGAAGTGGGATTTGATCCAGTGACCCAGTGAGTGGAAGTCTGAAGGAGGAGGAAGAGGATTAATTAAGACGGCTGCACCTTCTGGGCACGCAGAGGTGCGTGGGAAGCAAGGGGGCAGGAGTGACTCCAGCACAGCGTTCCTGGTCCGCTTTCCGCCTGGCTGGGATGGGGCCGGCAGCCGGAGCCATTGGCCAGGGCAATGGAGCAGCTGACTGGAGCAGCAGCAGCTGAGGCCCACGGGTCAGCTGGACGGACCTGAGTGTGAATTACCGAGCAGTGTGAGGACCAGAACTTGGTTTTTGTGATTCTGGCTTCCTGCACGTGTGACTCAGCCTCGGGTGTGAGCTCACGGCGTCTTGCGGGGCTGTGCGGTCTGCCTTACTTATTTCTTTTGTTTTTTTTTTAAAGATTTATTTTTATTATGTTTTATTGGAAAGGCAGATATACAGAGAGGAGAGACAGAGAGGAAGATCTTCCGTCCGATGATTCACTCCCCAAGTGAGCGCAACGGCCGATGCTATGCCGATCCGAAGCCAGGAGCCTCTTCCGGGTCTCCCACATGGGTGCAGGGTCCCAAAGCTTTGGGCTGTCCTCGACTGCTTTCCCAGGCCACAGGCAGGGAGCTGGAAGGGAAGCGGGGCTGCCGGGATAGAACCGGCGCCCATATGGGATCCTGGGCGTGCAAGGCGAGGACCTTAACCACTGCGCCACCACGCCGGGCCCTGTCTTACTTATTTCTAACAGTTCTGTGTGGAGCGAGGGTGCAGGGAGGGCAGGATGGCGGGAGGACCGAGTAGTGCTGTGCGTGTGCAGCTGGCTTCTTGGGGCGCCTGCCATCGCCTCCTTGGTTCCTGCACGGACGCTGGCTAGGTTGCCAGGCAGCCAGTCCAGCTGGAAAGGCCTTCCTAACCTGCAGAGGAGGGCTGGGCAGCAGCGGGCTGCTCCTGGGCCTAGGAACCTGGCAGAGCCTCAACTGCAGGAGGGTTCCCCCATGGAGAATGGCTGGATGTTGGGCCTGAAGCAAGTCCCAGCTTGTTTGGCAGTACCCAGTGCCCTGGCAGCTGTCCCTTCTGGGGAGGCCCCGAGACAGAGAGGAAGGACTGGGGGCGGAGGTCGGCTCCACGCCCACTCTGCGTGACTCACACCTAACTCGCCCTTCTCCGTGTGGCTCAGGGCACAGAGTGGCCTCAGCGAGTGAGTTTTAATTTGGGGTCAGAGCAGGTTCAGTTTCCAGCACAGCAAGTTAGAAAGGAGCAGAGAACAGAGCTGCTCCGACCCGGGCAGCTGGCATCAGCAGGGAAGGTCCCAGAAAGTCACTGTGGGAATAGCCGCCATGCCCACTGAGTGAGAGCAGACAGCACCCCGGGTGCGGCCTCCCAGAGCCAGAGAGGGCACGAAGGCAGAGGAGGACGTGGAAGCCAGGTCCTGGTTGGCCAGCTCAGGCTGCTTCTAGAACGGGCAGAGGCTATCTAGTTACCATCCAGCAAACGCCTTGTCAGAGGGACTCCGGCTGTGTACTCAGCCGGCCAGTTTGCCTGCATTCAATTATACAAATGACTACTAAAAATTTGCCTGAGACATAATATTAGGTAGTGTTGGATGAAAGTATTCAGTTTACCTTAACGAAAGGAATAGGCAAGGGCATTTTCCAGCCTCAGTAGGAAGAAAGCATGCTTGACTGCAGATATTAATAGCAGCAGTGAAAGTTCTGTCTTAAAATTGTGACAGTCTACATAACTATTTTTTAAGCAACAATAAAATTCATTCAGATGAAATGTAGCATGTACCGGCACATCGTGAGTTCTTGTGAGGTGGCGCGGGCGCTGACGGGCCACCTGTGTCCCCCAGGCCATCGAGAGCGCCATCGGGGGCAACGCCTACCAGCACAGCAAGGTGAACCAGTGGACCACCAACGTCGTGGAGCAGACGCTGAGCCAGCTCACCAAGCTGGGGAAGCCCTTCAAGTACATCGGTAAGGGGTGCTGCTCGTGGCTCTCGGGCAGTGTCTGCCAGGAGGGAGCTGGCATGGTCATTCCAGGCGGGTCAGCTCCCTGTGCTGCACACGGCGCCATCCACTGCTGAGATGATCTCAGAACTTCACAGGGCTGCCCATCAGCTGCTTGGACAGCACGTGGCCGAGGGAGGGGAGTGGCGACGTGCCACGGTGGGCTGGGGACTTCTAGTCTATGCCTGTAACTTTTGTCATGAACGTCAGCACGTTTCCTGGACATAAGGCTGAGGGTGGGCAGAATGGAGTTCCCGCTGCCGAGCCGAGTTCCCTGACGAAGTGTGTTACACCTGCAGTAACCTGTGTCATCATGCAGAAGAATGGCGCGGGGCTCCACACAGCCAGCTCCTGCTTCTGGGACAGCTCCACTGACGGTAGGGTCCCGCCCGGCTCCCAGGAGCCCACCCACACCTCGACCAGGCTGGGAGAACAGCACAGGCTGAGCACCCTTGATCTGAGAGTCTGAAGGCCCCAAAGTTTGACAACTTGGAAATGCCACCACGATGTCACGGGTGGAACATCCACCCCTGACCTCACACGATGGAAGCACCCTGAGGTGCCTTGAGGCTGTGTGAGGTGTGGATAAAACTCTTGTGTTTAGACTTGGGTCCCATTGCCAAGGTCACACATGGTGCCTGTGAACATGCTGTTGAGTTACAAGGTTTAAATCTCAATAGCCACCCTGGACTCAGCACGTTTACCTGTCACCTTTAAAATAGCTGTGACAGACTTGCCAGCCTTCTCTGGGTGCCAGGAAAGGGGGGTGCCTGGGTTTGGCTCTTGTAAGAAGTGGGCACATCCCAGCCACCATCCTGGTCACCAGTGCCGCTCTGCTTCCCCCAGGGAGCTGCACCGTGCGATGGGAGAACAAGACCATGTACTGCATCGTCAGCGCGTTCGGCCTGTCCATATGAGCGCCTGCGGAGCCGTTCTCGGCGTTTCTGTTCTGCCCTCGCTGGCCGCGCGCTCCGCGGACACCATGCTCAGTATCTTCAAGTGTTTGTTTCGTGGCTCTCTCAGAATGTAGAAGAACCAAATGGCCGCACTGTTCTGTGAGCGCTGCCCCGCGGTCACACGGATGTCACCAGCAGTGGCCGGGCACAAGCCCGCGTCGCCCTCGTCCCTGCTGGGAGCCTTTCTTTCCAAGGTGCTGAAGTCCACGGCAGGGAGCGTCCTCTTTCCTCTGGGATGACTCGAGTACACCAATTCTCCATACTTTTTACTTTTGTTAGAATAAATTATTACAGTGTAAAGTCTCTGGTGTTCTTTGGGGCCCTCGAACCTCCCCAGGGAGCAGTCCCTGTTGCCGAGCTGCAGACAGGGCGGCCCTGGGCCTCTCTGGCATGCAGTGATCTGCTGGCTCATGATACCCACTCTGCTGGGCCAGAGACCAGGGCTGGAGCTGGCAGCCAGGTGGCCCAAGGCTCTGCCATCACTTTCGTCCTGTCACAGCTACCAGTGACTCTCGTGCGTGGTGGTTCCATGGTTGGTCACTGCACACCCACACCAGCTGGGCAGTTCCTGAGAACCATAAACTGCGTTGGAGGTTATCTGGTCAAATGTCTGCAAGGGGTCGTGAGACGCAAGGCACCACCTTCCTCCTTGCCTTCTGAAGGCAGGGCAGTGAGAACGTCGGCGTCTGCTTGCTAAAAGGACCAAGTTCTACTGCTTGTATTTTTTTTCTTCTTCTTCTTCTTTAAAGACTTATTTTTATTGGAAAGGCAGATCAGATTTATAGAGAAGAGAGACAGGAAAAGATCTCTCCAGTTGTTCACTGCCCAAGTGGCCAAAAAGGCCAGAGCTGAGCTGATCTGAAACCAGGAGCCAAGAGCTTCTGGATGTCCGACATGAGTGCAGGGTCCCAAGGCTTTGGCCCGTCGTCTGCTGCTTTCCCAGGCCACAAGCAGGGAGCTGGATAGGAAATGGAACAGCCGGGACACGAACTGGTGCCCATAGAGGATCCCGGCGCTTGCGGGGGAGGATGTAGCCACTGAGCCACCACTCTGGGCCCTCTGCTTGGACCTATCACAACCTAAACACCCACATTCCAGAGGCCAAACTAATCCAGAAAGTGAGCAGATCAGACACAGATAAGGAATAGTAAAAATTTATTAACATTTACAGGAAAGTAGCATCAGAATGGAGCTGATCCCATAAGGTGAGCCGGCCCTAAGCAGATACAAACCCACTGTCAGCCAGCAAAGACAGCCGAGGACTGGGGCACTGGGCTGCCACGCCCAGCCTGCTTGCCCACCTTAGTCAAGTTCATTGCACTTTATAAATATGTAGTTTCTGCATAAAAAGGTAGTTTTCAGCAGCAGGAAATCTATTGCATAATATGGGACTAGACTTACTGGTACAGCTGCATGGCACTAAAAACTGAGACACTTAGCCTAACTCAAGGACAGCAGAGATGGGACAGCGTGACCTTGACCTGATAAAAAGGTCTACCTTCTGGGGGGGGGTGCGAGTGTGTGCGTGCACTAAAGTCTGACCTCTAGGACATTTGGTTTCTAACGTGTTTCTGGTCATGGTCACAGAATGTCCCCTTTCGCCATCCCTTTTGTAAGCATCTCTCTCTGGAACCGAACCAAGAAGTCACTGGGCACACAGCAACCTATTTAATGCAATCTAAGCTTTTATTGCAATCTGTAATTATGTACAGTAGCCATCTTAGAGATCATGGTTATTTTATCTAGCCCCTTTTGGGCCTTTCAAAGAGACGAGAGAGAAAGTGGCACTGTGCCAGCCTGTAGTGATTTAGTAATAAATCAAGCACTGTTACCCACGTGGATAATGAGGCCGTCCTGGGCCCGCTGGAGTTCCTGCGCTCCCACTGCAGGCTCCCCTGGACTGCACCAGTACAAAAATCCCAAGATGAGGAAGCCAGCCTTTGACTTCTTAGTTGAAGTTTGCAAAGCGTGGGCATCTCTGCACCACTTGGCGTCGTGCAATCTCTGGTGAACTGCAGTTCTGCCGGACACGTGTCTCACACCTGATCTCAGTGCTAATACTGTAAGCAAACTCTGACATGGGGTGTAACTTGAGCATGTGCTGCGAGGGAGGAGGAACTGAAAACCTACAGCTCAACCAAGGACGGTGTTCCTGCTAAGCACTGGGTCACCTTAGTTACAGCGAGGGAGTAAGTGGTATTCTGTTCCCCCCGCTGACGCCAACAAGAACGGATGTGTGAGGACACTGCAGCCTGGAGTGGCACTGTAGGTCCCAGAGCTTGTCATGTCCTCCTGTGCCTGGCTCAATGCCTCAAACTGTTGATATTTCTTGATAAATAGTAGCATTCCGGCTCTAGATAAGACTTTTGTAATGATAAAACCTAGGAACCGTTTCACACTGGAATACGTTAATCAGCACACGTGTTCATACATAAAGCTACAGTTAGAGAGTAGTCTAACTAAAAGTTGTAAAACTGGGAAACAAAACTTTTTTCAATACTTCTGAGTATACAGAATTTAAAAAGTCATACCATTGCAAATGTAAAAATCATATAAACTCGAATTACCCTTACAATAAGTTTCATTCATTCATATTCACAAGGCTTTTAAAACAAATCAAGTGGCCTCTACAGTTACATTATCGTTAAGGTTTAAATAAGGAAGAAGGGAGTCCTAGTGCATGTCCAGGGTCCCAGGGCTAGCGACCAGGTGGGGAGTGACTTGTCAGCGCAGAGATGAAGATGCAGGTGCTGTGTGCAGAGTGGCACAGTCCTCCCCGAGTCCGGGCGGTTGCTGGCATCCCACGCTAACACACTTTGTGCAAGGTGACACCCACGGCACCCTTGCGTACAGTCACCTGGGAACGCTCCTGGGCCCTCCGACGCCTGAGGCTCAGCAGCACCAGAACCTCCTTCCCACAGAGCAGCGCACCTGCTTACTTGCCACGGTGTGACTCCAAACACGTGGCTTCCCATCCAGAGATGATTTTCCATAAGCCATTTATTTCCCTTTCACTTAGTTTCCAAATGTGACACTGAAAATCTTGTTGGCAATAGAGAATCTATAATAATTTACCAGCTACTTTATTTAGCTTTTATTTAAAAAAATAAAGCTTTATGGGATTTCACAGTCAACAGTTTGCAGAAATGACTGTTTCTTGGAGAGGAAAGTTTCCCTCCTGCGGGCCACAGCCACAGGGGGGCGCACTCATTCCTGGATGCTTGTGTGTGGCCACGTGCTTCCAGAGACACCGGCAGCAGGCCCTCCCCCGCTGTGGGCACAGTGGGTTATCTGGGTCTTGCCCTGCTCCTGCCCTGGTGGCCCCCAGGGGCCAAGGCCTGAGCACGCCCACTCCCGTCAGTCCCACCTGCAGGCTCCCAGACGCCTGGCTAGGGGCGCTGGCCACTTCCCCCGGAAGGACTGCCCGGCTCAGGCAGGCACAGAAACAGCTGCTCTTGGAGTGAAGGGCACAGAACTCAGGATTCCCAGTTCAGGCGAAGGCGGGAAAGAAAGGGGGAAGCTGCCGCCGGGCGCCGGGGCGCCTGGGCCATCACGCCCCCGGAACGTGGAAGCTGTGACTTTTTCTTGAAGGAAGGCATGTAGCTGTCTATTGAGAATGGGCGATTTCCTTTTTCACCATTGCAAACCTAGCTCATCTGAAGTCTTCGTAGGAAGGACTTGGCTGTTTAAACTTTTGTCAGTTCCCCCTTTTCCTAAATAAATGCAGCTGCCCTGACAATAACCGTAACATTAAATTTGTCCTGTGTTTTGGTCTTCCTTTTGAGAATGTGTAAACAGCTATGAACGAGACTTCTGGGCACGTGGGTCGGAGGGAAGCAGGTGCGGCGGCTCAGTCGCTGTCCGACTCCTCCTTGTATTTGGCCCGGATGGCCTGGCCGTTCTGCAGGGGCATCTCCTCATAGTCACTCCTGCCGGAAGACAGACCCTGAGCCGCCCTGGCCCGCCTGCTCCCCACGCGGACACCACCTAACAGTGCCCGTCACGTGCCTTCCTTCCCGGAGTCCCCCGCCATGCCACTCCCCAGTCACAGGGCAGGGCAGCGGGCCACCAGGCAGGCAGCATGCACAGAAAGCAGTCCTGCACACCAGCCTGAGCAACGTGAGAACGGGAAACCGTGGCAGCACGTGGCTCACCCCGTCAAAGCCGCGATCCCTTGCAAATCATTTTAGAGTAATAACCCGGCCGGCAACCACCAACGCCAGGCCAGGAAGTGCCTGACGCCACGCAGCTTACCCATAGATGACGTCGTCATCCGAGTCATTCAGCATGGAGAAGGCGGGATTGTCTTTGAGCTGGGACTCTGAAAGCCAACAGAAGCAGCTTAACCTCAGCAAGTGTATCAGCCTGAGGAGGCAGGCCACTGGCATGGGGACATCCGGGTCCTGCTCCTCCCGCGTGTGTGAGCCTCAACAGTGTCGCAAGGCCTGCGTGGCTCAGGGCTCTGAAGGGTGGGCACCCATGGGAGACAGCAGGCTCATTCCAGGTGCCCACATGGACAACGAAACAGCAAATGGGCCCCAGCAGGGGTGGCTCAGTCGTGCCTGCCCCCAGCAAATCTCCCTTCCAGTTTCTTTCCTCTGCACATTGCATGTGGCTACGGCCGTCTGGCAAGGCTGCTGTGCCGCTCGCCGAGTCCCCGAGCGTGAAGGTGCTCTAAGAGCGAGTAACTATGATGGTCAGGGCAGCACTGGTTGGGTCCCAGCAAGTTCTCTCTGGGCGTTCTAACTAAAGCTCAGAGCTTACCCTGTACACTGCCTCGTCTCTCCTACCCAAAGAGAAATGCTGTTAGCTACAGTGCCCAGCATGGACGGGAAACAAAAGTGCATACTGAGCAGACAGACTGCGCGGCGCCCCAGGCGCAGGGCCTTACCGTAGAGCGCATTCCTCGACGGGGAGTACACGAAGGCCAGAGTGTAGAGGTAAAAGTTCAACAAGCCGTAGAAGGACAAGAACTCTGCTGGTGGTGCCGTCAAGGAAGGCTGAGGGTTTGCTTGCTTTCTGGCCTCCCCTCCCAGCTGTCAGAGCCCCGTCTAGGTAGGCCCACACAGCCCTCACAGCACCCAGGGCAGGGACAGGGAGGCCACCAGCCCATGGACAATCAGGTCTCCACACAGTAAACCAAGAGGGGTAGGCCCAGCCAGGCGTGTCTGACCTTTCTAGATTAGAGACTGCCTAGTGAGAAAGGCAGTCACAAAGCGTGGGAAAATCCTGCATGCTGAGAAGGCCGTGCAAAGCCGAAGATTTAAAGGCTGATGTCCAAAGTGTGCCAGGCACCAAGGAATATCAACGCCGAGTGGGGACAGGGCACCTGGGAGGCGACAGCATGCGCCACTGGCCTCGCGTCCAGCGGCACGTAAGGCAGCCTTGGTGTTTCAGGAGCCACCTCCTCAATGCGCACAATAAGCTTGCTCCACTCTCCCGAGCCTGACAGCCCCGCCTGGATCTGCCCAGGTGATAGCACACTCACTCGGCCCCAGGGCCATGGCTCCAAATGACCCAGTGTGGACTTGGGCCCGGGCCTCCAGTGACCTGCACATGTCCATGGTCTGGGAAGGAGAGCTGGACCAGTGGCCCGGGACTGGACCCAGGCCGCGCCACGTGGTCACCACCTCAGGGACTTGCTTGGTCCTGCCCACAGAGGAGGAATGGCAGAGCCGGTCTCTCCCAGACCGCCATGGGCCAGGCGAGCCGTTAGGAAGTGTTTCTCAGCATGGAGAGGGTCTGTAGTGCAGGTCACCTCATGAGCAGCACTGATGGCAATGAGGCCAGGTGCACAGGTTAAAAGGATATAATTCTGGTAGTGAGTGGACAGTTCTGCTACAAAGTTGTCTTGTAACACCTGTGCTCCGAATCTTAGATAAAGGATGACAATGCTGAAAAACAAGGCGTGCGGAAATGAAGCAAAACTCTCCCAGGAATGGCACCCATTCCAGACAATTCTCCAGCACCCCCAGCAACGGTGTGCTCACTGGTCGTTCTGCACAGAAGCCTCCATTCACACACACAGTCCACCTGGGAGGGTCAGAGCCCCAACCAGCTGACAGCAGAGAGCCCTGCCCAACACAGACAGCAGCAGTCCCCCAAGGCCTGGGGCACCCGGCACACCCACTCCAAGGTCACTCCCTTCACAGCTGTCTGCAACCATGGAATTCACCTCCTGAAGGCCATCTCCCCCCATGGGATTCACCTGCTCAAGGCCAACCCTATAGAATTCACCCCTTCAAGGCTGTCTCCTTACAGAGTTCCGGCTCCCCTGGAACTACCCCCTCTCCTGACCCATATCTCACCCCCAAAGGACAGAAGTGCCTTGGTCAGATCCTTCCTGATGATAAAGTTGGCACTAGCGCACTGCACATCCATTTAACTGTCACCTCCACAGCAACTGTCCCTCTTCAGCCCCTGTGCTGTCGCCACAGCACTGCTTCCCACCCGCTCATCACTCTTTCCCCTGGCCGGAGCACAAATGCAGTGACAGGGAGGCGTTGTCTGCCAGCGTGGCTGTGGGACGCGCCTGCAGGGCAAACCCTGGAATCCCCACGGCGCTGGCGCTCCGGTGAGGCAAGGTCACAAAAGCCTAGCAACTTCCAACTCAGCTTCCACAGGGGCCGCAAGGGGCAGGTGCGCTCCCGCTGGGGACTGCCTGGCATGAGGGTGAGGGCACAAGTGTCAACACGCAGGCGTAAGGAGTGTCTCGGGGTGTGTCAGTGTGTGTGTGAGGGCGTGAGGACACACACATTAATGTAGGTCAGCTCAGGATGGCGTGTCCCGGTGAGGGAGGGAGGGAGTGTGTGTGTGTGAGAGAGAGAAGCCAGAGACACTGTGTGCGCAGTACAGATAGTGCTGCTGGGCGCCAGGGCCGAGGGTCGCAGCTGGAAGGAGACCCCCCAGCCCCGAGGAGTCAAGGCTGAGCACACACGGGGCTGGCTGGACATGGATGCCCACAGGAGTCTCCTGGACGAGCTGCTGCCCAGACACCTGTCGGACTCTCCGGACTCATCTGCTATCCACGCAACCAAACACGAGCACACACCTTTTTCTTCTCCCCACTGGATTCTGATTTTTAGGAGAAAGACACAAACCCTCAACAACCAAATAATTACCTGGAACGTATTCCTGGGATCGGCCTGCCTGCCGGTGACATGGCCCACAGGCTTCCTCTGTGACCCACAGCAGGACCGAGCCCTCCAGGCCCAGCAGCCCTCACGGGGCTCCCCAGTCCCTGGGGCTCTAGCTCAAGCTTAGAGTCCAGTCCTGGGAGGCTCAAAGGGCCAAGCACCCCACACCTCCATCTCACCAGACCCTAACTCCCTGACCTGAAGGATTGCCCACCACACAGAGAGCAGGTGTCAGTCGGCCAGCTGGGTCACTGTGCTCTGGCTAGCCTATGTCTTGGTCCTGGCCATCTACAACCCAGCCCGTGCTCTGGGCTGTCACGCACGACCAGCCCCACCCTTGGGGTGGCCAAATAAAAATCAGCCTTTCCTTCTTTCAAGCAATGACATTTTCTTACCTAATGACAAGCACTACAAAGGTTAACGCAGTCAGAAACTTCAACCTGAGATCTGAAAGACAGCAAGGTTCCTATTAGTAAGCTCCCCTTCCATCTCCAGGATCTTCACAATACAAGCAGCAATAAAGCAAAGCTTCCAGAACAAATCCCTTTATGGGACTTATGGACTTCAAGCCCCTTAGTCGCAGCCCGAGCGAGGCAAGCAGCTCCCAGAGCCCCTGGTGGGCACCAGGAAGGCTTTGCCTCAGGCCTGCAGCCAGGCGCCCAGCCCCTCTGAGCAGCCATCGGGGCTTGGGGCCTGCACCTCCACCCCAAGACCTCCCACTAAACGGCCAGGGCCATCATCTCTTTAAGCCAGCTGCAGCCTCCTGGGGCCAAAGAGCAGGTCCCCAGCTGGTGGAATGGACAGTCCCTCCCACCCTGCAGGGTGGCCCTAAGGGGTGCTTACCCACGTACGGCATGTGGCGCAGCTCGGAACAGGCCCGTACAACCAGGAAGAGCAGGGCTGCCACGTACACGGCCGCCCCCACCAGGAAGAAGGTCTTCATGCCCTGTGGGGGGGACGAAAGTGCCCCGAGTGAGGTCAGGCTGGCTGCTGCTCCCCTGTGGCCCACCTCACTGCTCCAAGGATGGTCCTGGAACCCCACAGGCCACTCCAGGAAACAGAACTGTCCTCTCGGGCGCCCTCTGTGGAAAGGGACGCCTGGCCCTTGTGCTGGAAGGGCTGGGGCCAACCCCCTCCCAGGACACGCCGCACTTGGGCAAAGGCAGAAGCCAGTGAGTGGCAGGGACTGCGAGCCTGCGGCCCCCGGGGGTAAGGCTGGTTGCTCGCCCCACTTGCGAGGATGGAGGCTGGTGCCCAAGCTGTCTGGAAACCTTGAAAGAGCTAGAGCAGAACAGGAACATGTTCTGGGTCACACCGCAATTCTCCTAAAAGGTGACACGTCTTGTGTCCTGGTATTTCAACCAGAAGCCATAGATTTGAAGTGAAAACACAGTCTGTACATTCTGCGGCCCTTGGCCATCCTAGGGGTCCTCCCACACAGCCTCCTGCAAGCCCTCGTCCCACACAGCCTCCTGCAAGCCCGCAGCAGCAGGCCGGGCTGTGCGTTTACTGAGTGGCATCAAGGAGCTACACAATCCTTACCTGAAAGTTGCCCGTGTCCACGCGGTACTGGTACATGGGGTCATGCAACTCGTTGACACTACAAAACATCACAAGAAGCCTGCAGGTGAACGGCTCACTTCACTTTCTGTTTTACACATTTTCTCACCTGAATTTTTTTAAACTCCATGCTGTGCTAGTAAGGGATTTACCCAGGATCGTAAATCCATGAGAAACCTCAATTTCGTGGTTCAGATAACGAAGGTGCCCAGCTGCCCACCTGGGCTGCGGGGCGGCCCCGTGCCTCCTGCAGGCGGCAACTCCGGAGCAGGACGCCGGGACACACCTCCCTGGGGCTCAGTGCTGACTCTGCTGGCGGCCCAGGTGCAGGGAGTAGGGTGGCAGGGGCGTGTCCCAGCCACAGCGCTCCTGTGCGGGAGCCTGGCCATCTGTGGGTGGGCAGGAGCACCAACAGCCCTCCTTGGGGGTACAGGAGGCTCAGCTCCACTAGGCCTCTGTTGGGGGCACTGACAATTTCCTGCCCTGTGATTGGCCCTTTGCCCTGATTGGTGTGCCTTGGTGCTGATTGGACAGGATTGACAGATAAGCCGGGGGGGAGGGGAACTTGGCGGGGGAGGGGCTTCAGCGTAACGGAATTAACGGACATAACGGTTTTAAAGGAAGATCAGAATAAAGCGCCTCTGAGACTCTCCAGTGTTGGGCGATTTCTTCCACGGGACGGGAGACACCGATAGGCCTCTGCCCAGCCACCTTCTAGAAGACACTAGAAAGATGAACCCTGGGTGCCAGGGAAGGACCCGGGATAGGAGACTCAGCAACCTGGTGGGTGGCACAGCCAGGGCCTCCGGCTGCCTGAACGGGTGCTGAATGCCACGGTCAGGCTAAGAAAGCAGGGCAGTGGGACCCGCTCTGCCAGCCTCCAGCACACCCTGCAGGCCCACAGCTTCTCCAGATGGCCTACTCACGTCTGCCATATTCCCAGCGTCACAGACGCCAGCCACAGCAGCCCAACGATGAAGAACTTCGGCAGATAGAAAGTTAAGCACTTTCTTTCTCCCTAAAAAGGAAAGTAAAAGTATGAAAAGTCTAGCGAAGTGCTAATCCAGCGTTAGCGGCAGACACGCGGGTCACATCTCTGTCACCACATCCATCTTGTGGGAAGCCCGGGCTTTCAGGGGTCACCCCCTCTTCAAGGACTCCTCTTGGGTTGGGGGGTTCTGGGGCATGCTGAGGCAGGCGGCTCACCTGGACCCGGATGCCATGGTACACACACAGCCAGAAGAGCAGCAGGGCACACAGGAACATGGACTGGAAGAGGTCGTCCAGCATGCCGGGGAGCCAGCTGTTCACCAGGAAGGAGAGCGGGAAGAAGGGGTCTGCAAGGCGAGGGGCCGGAGACATGAGCCCATCCATGGCTGGCCGACGCCCTCAGAGCCAGCTCGCCTCCTGGCTCCCAGCTCCGAGCCACAGCTCTCCTGTTCTCCAACACCCGAATGCCATCTTGTGCCCCTGCCCGGCCCGGGAGCACACGCATGCAGGGGAGGAGGAAGGGGCCCCACGCACATTCCAGCACTGCAGTGCATCCCAGTGCTAATGGCTGAGGTGGCACCAGGTGTCTGCCCGGGCCAGGCAGGACATGGCTCTGGAGCAGCGGGAGTCTGCCTCTACCCCTGCCCCACCACCTCCCTCCCCGCACTTGCCCTCCTGGGGCCTCCCGAGCCTGGGCCGCCTCCAAGGCGGACAGGAAGCGAGCCACGCCTACCGTTGTACAGCAGGAGCAGGGGCAAGAGGACGGACATCCACTTCTGCTCGATCCCCCAGTCCCGCATGGAGAACTTGCGCAGTGAGTGTGTGAACAGGCACTGCAAGGCAAGCCAGGCCTGTGTCACAGCCTGCGCCAGGGCTAGGAGCGCAGGGACGCCTGGAGCAGACCGACTGCCTCTACAGGGGCACCAGCACAGGACCGGGGTAGGGGGCAGGAAGCAGGCAGGGGGGCCCAAAGCTTCTGTAAGAAAGAGAAAGGCGCCCCTCCACCCACACCCTGGGCCTGCGCCCACATCTGTGGCTTCTACATGCAAGGGGGAGCAGGTTGCTACCAACAGCCTCAGGTTCCCTGAGAAATACTCCAGTGGAGCAGGACTATGGCTGGACCCTAAAGCAGCTGGGGACCCAATGAGAAGTCTCAACTGCTTTCAAACCCTTGCATCCTTCCTCTTTTCCCTCCTTTCTTTTTGTTTTCCCAGGCCATACCAGGGAGCTGGATCGGGAAGTGGAACAGCAGGGACACAAACTGATGCCCATATGAGATGCTGGTGCTTGCAGGCAGAGGATTAGCCAACTGAGCCACCATGCCAACTCTTTTCGTAACCTGATCTAAACCCATGACTTCTCAGCAACCTGGACTTGCTTGCCTATAGGCCACAGTCTCCAGTCTAGGTGGCCTGCTGAGGCAAGGGCCTGGATGGAGGAGCAGCCCTCCGCCTTCAAGAACAGCAGGGGTCCTGGCCAGGCTACAGAGTGAGGTCCCCACCCTGAGGACACTCGGTATGCCCACTTGGGGCTGAGACACCGAGACACTGGGGAGCACCATGCCCCCCAGCTCCCTCTCTGGACAGTGAGCCTGTAAGTCCCAAGTTTCCCAGGCGTCAGCCCAAGGGCTCGCCAGGGCGAGGGTGTGGTCGCACAGCTCTCAGATGCCACTCATCCCGGTCAGCGCCGGTGGGCAAGAGCTGGCAGGGCAGAGTGCCACTCTGCAGACAGCAAGAGTCACTCCCTCCTCAGCACAGATGGGGCCTCCCCTGGGGTTCCTACAGCCAGCACTGCCCCGGGATCCCAAAGGACCTTGCCCTCACAGGTGCCAGAAGGGTTTGTGACAGCCCAGCATTCCTCTCTACGGTCTGCCACCCGCAGACACGCGGGACACAGCAGGGCCCCGGCTCCGCAGTCTGCTGCAGTCTGCGTACGAGGGGCACGCACCGTGACAATGAAGGTGAGCACCACGAAGGCAAATCGGAACCAGATTTCCAGCTGGGAAAACGCGGGGTTGTAAGTCTTCCACTGCAAAGAGGAGGCACGGCAAGTGACTTGGAGAGAACGCACCCAAGAGGCGACACACCGGGTTAGTAAGAGCAGCGGGCTCCGGCGGCGCCCAGACGGTGCCCTTTGCGTTACCCTGTCCCAGGGGCTTGGCACTTACTGCATTCTGAATTTGTTTTAAATATACGAATATAAAAAGTCCTAATCACCAAGAGCTGAAAGGACTTTCAAACGAATCATGTTAATGATGCACATGCCAGAGAAGTGATGCTATAACCAGAAGAACAGGTGGTTTCTAAATCTATCAAAATCAACCCTGTCAAAGCAAAAGGGGAGGCAAGCAGCTAGCCCAGTAGATAAGATACCACGTCCCACGGCAGAGAGCCTGGTTCGATCCCTGGCTGACTCCTGTGCCCTGGGAGGCAAGGGATACGTGGATTATGTTCCTGGTTCTAGCTTCAGCCTGAGCCCAGCCTGGCTCCTGGTGGCACCCAGGTACAGCCAGCAGATGGCCCCTGGGGGCACTCGGGCACAGCCAGCTGCTCTCACATTCTCTCTCTGCCTCTCAAACCAACCCCCACCCCATCTCCTTATTAGAAAAGCCACATTTTTAATAAAGGGGAACATGCTTTTGTATCTTTTCTTGAGACAGGGCATGCACTCCCATCTGCCAATCACGCTCCAAATGCCTGCCAGGCTTGGGCTGGACCAGACCTCAAGCAGCAGCCAGGAGCTCAATGCAGATCTCCACGGTGGGCAGCAGGACCCAATTAGCTGAACCATCACCTGCTGCCTTCCATGGCTTACACCACCATGAGGCCAGAGCCAGACGCCAGCTGGGGTACCAAGAGCAGGCTGCCAAGCACAAACACTCCAGTAAGGAAGCAAAGCACCCCAAGCCATGTCTTAGCCACTGGGCTAAAGCCTGCACAGAAACAGGTTTTTAAGTGTTACCCAGAATGAGTAGCACTTATATGGGGGAGGGGGACGTTGAGACACAGGCGCCACCTGCTGACGAAAGCGCAGAAGGCAGTCAGACCCCGACTCCTGTGCTGCAAGGCCAGTGAGCCCTATCATGGAGAGGCAATGAAGCACCACTGCTGAGCAACTTGCACAAACCTTTTAAAAATGAATACTGTAACACAAACTCTAGTGATCAGTAATATCACACATGAAATTAAAAAGCACTGGAGAGGCCCAACAGGAGAAATGTGAACTGCAGCAAGGGGAAGCCTAAGCAATCAAAGCCGACCAGAGGTTAGAAGACAGAATTGGCAGGAAGGGAGCTCCAGGGGCCAGCGGGCAGCCTTGCCCTGCTCCAGAGAGACGAGTGGGGTGTGCAGCTGACCACCATCCCAGAGCCTGCGGGGAGCAGGCCCAGAAGCCACCTGGGACACAGCGAGACAGAGGAGACTGAGAGGGCCGGCGCCCTGTGCCCTGGGCGGCTGTGGGACACTGCGGTGGCAGGCGAGGCCAGGAGAGCAGCAACAGGGGTGGCCACGGGCTTCCAGCTGAGACAGAAACGATGGTGTCACAAACCCAGGGAGAGCACCGTAATCATATTGCTTCAACTAGGGAAAATCTTTTTTAAAGATTTATTTCTTTTTCTTGGAAAGGCAGATTTTACAAAGAAAAAGAAAGACAGAGAAGAAAGATCTTTCATCCATTGGTTGTTGCCCCAGATGGCCACAACAGCCAGAGCTGAGCGGATCTGAAGCTAGAACTTCTTCTGGGTCCCAAAGTGGTGCAAGGTCCCAAGGCTTTGGGCAACCCTCTACTGCATTCCAGGCCACAAGCAGGGAACTGGATGGAGTGGGGCTGCCAGGACACAAACGGGCGTCCACATGGGATGCAAGTGCCACACAGTGGACAAAGTCTGCTGCACCACCAGGCTGGCACCAAGTAAAAGACCTTAAAGAGGGGGGCTGGGGACAAAGATTCAGTAAGGACGACAGCAGAATCTGTACCAGGATCATGCAACGTAGCAATACCCTGTAAACTGGAACTCAGCGTGGCACCACACAGTAGAGAGCACAGCAAACCTTACAGCACCAATAGCACCAGGTGCACAAGGACGGGGGGCCCAGAGGTGAGGGTGCTGTTCCTTGACCTGAGACCTGGCCATCCCACCTCTGCCATCAGCACACATCCACGCAAGGGGTGGCACACACGTGTTCCCAAGAGCTGCCGTTACAAAAGCTCCAAACCACCTGAAGGCCCTCAACAGCTGGACCTCTGCTGGCAGCACCCAGAGGAAAAGGACGTGGCCATGACAGGGCCCAAGCTGCCGGACACCCATGCTGTCCCCATGCTGAGTGAGCATGCCACAGGGCAGGATTCAGACACTCCAGGGCCTTGCCAGCTCGGTCATGAAATCAGATGCTGGGTGCCTGGGCTGAAAGGCAGCAGCAGGACAGGGTGCTGGCTTCAACGTGAGCTGATGTACAAGCCAGGCACAGGTGGCCGCAAGCAGCTGATGGCCACCATGGTAACCAAAGAAAGGCGGAGTTGGCCTCCAACCAAACCCTGACCAGATGGCGGAGTTCAGGCTGTGAAACCACCACTGCACCAACGAGGGGACAAACCCATATCCCCTCACCAAATAAGGGCCGAGGCAACCCCCGTTTCAGTTTCCGTGTCACAGAGAGCTTTAAAAGACACCTTCCCCATCTCTTCTTCCTCTGCAGCCCACTCCTTCATGTCTGTTTTTTGGCTGCATGGGGAAGGGAAGCCTGTGACCATGATTCCCTGAAATAAAGGCCATCTAAATTCTTTTCATACATTCACTGAGTTATTCTTTCCCTGGTGGTCAGTGAATCTAACATTTTGGCAAGTGATGAATTTAAGAGCAGCCCACATTCAACAGACAATAACATGTCCAAGTGGTGATCGTTCCGCAGTCTGTCACGCCAGTGTGTGTGTCTGTGGGTCCTGGAGCAATCACAGCGATACGGACTGGCACATGACATGTGCTGATGACAAGCCCATAGTCACAGAATCAAGATGGCGGAATAGGGTAAGGACACGTTTAATCAGACAGAGAAACATTTAATCAGGATGAAGCAGAGAGGACATATGTCAGGAAACAGAGGACAGAACAACAGCAGAGGGGTACCTGGAGACTGACAGACACAGGAAAGCAGCGGACACAGTGGTGTGGTGTTGCAGTGACTGATACTCTAGTGGCATTAAGCTAACGGCGATCTGACTCCACCAGCAGCCGGAACTCTACCAGCAACCAGGTGGGAAGGGACTTTCACTGGGAGCTTGGGAGGTGAACCCAGACAAAGAACCATCCATCCTGCTGGTCCCTTTGATTTGAACAGGATCAGAGACAGAGCAGCAGATCACAGACAGACAGGCAGTGAGAGAACAGGGTGGATTTCATAGCCCAGTCAGCCCCCTAGAGACAAATTGGGTGCCATTTTGCGTAAGGAGGCAAAGGCAAGGGAAAGGACTGAGCATATGCTGAGCTGGGAGTGAACTCATTTTTGACTCAGTGAACTGCAGCAACGTGGCATTCTACAGGTTCCACCCAAGACAGGTCTGGGTAGCCCTCAGATCTGACAGCCAGCAGATCAAGAACTCTAGTAGTAGTACGTCAGGCACCATTTTGTACACTGTGGCAAAAGCTTTAGGACTGCAGGGGACAACAGTGAACTGTGCATGTGCTGAGCTCGCAAAAACTCACTGAATTCCGTGGATTGCACTGGTCCCACAGGAAAATAATACCGACTGTGGCATCCTATGGGTCAAAATAGGTCCGTGTGACACCCAGACCAAACGTTCAACAGGTTCCAGCAAGATCAGTGCCACCAACAACCTAGCTATGTAGGACACCTGGTGTCTCTAATCCTGGGACCTGCTCCAACTGAAAGTGGGAGCAAGGTTGCAACCTCAGTACAGTATCACAGGAGGTGGAGAGTGGTGAGCCAGGAGCTAGGGCTACAGAGTTCTTGGTGGAAATCTAACATAAGAACCCAGAACTGGGTTCCAATCAGAAGAGGGAGAAAGGTTGCAGAGACAATGGAGCAGCCTCAGCACGGTATCACAGGAGGTGAAGAGTGGTGAGCCAAGAGCTGGGGCTGTGGAGACCACGGTGGATATCTGACATAAGACCCAGACCTGGAACTCGCTGGAGGTTGTGGCACAAGTGGCTGCAAGCAAAAGTGTGTGCCAACTGCAATAAGTAAAATCGCATCGTAGACCTGTGGGTGAAACAGCTTAGAAACCTGCCCCAAGGAGAAGACTGCTAACCAGAAGTACAATGATCAAGAGCAAAAGAAGAGACAAAGGCACAATGAATATTACTGAAAACTCCCCTGCAAAGGAGCAAAACCCTATGTCAACCTCAGAGTTAACTGAGGAAAACATCGAGAAAACGGGGGACACAGAATCCATAAGACTCATTTTGAAGATTCTGGTCAAAAATGAGAAGTTAATGCAAGAGTTCAAAGAATTTAAGGAATCAGTAAAGCAAATCAAGACTGGTATATCAGAAATTAAGAACACAGTAGAGCAAATTACAACTATAGTGGAGAGTCTCCAAAATAGAATGAAGCAAGCAGAAAAAAAAAAAATCTCAGAATTGGAAGATATCTCCTGTCATCTGGGGGAAGCAAACAAAATGCTGGAAGCAGAGCTGGATCAGGCCAAAAAAAGTATTCAAGAATTGAAAGCCACTATTTATTTATTTTTTATTATTATTTTTTTTATTGGAAAGGCGGATATACAGAGAGAAGAGACAGAGAGGAATATCTTCCGTCCGATGATTCACTCCCCAAGTGACCGCAACAGCCGATGCTATGCCGATCCGAAGCCAGGAGCCTCTTCCTGGTCTCCCACGCGGGTGCAAGGTCCCAAAGCTTTGGGCCGTCCTCGACTGCTTTCCCAGGCCACAGGCAGGGAGCTGGAAGGGAAGCAGGGCTGCCGGGCTAGAACCGGCGCCCATATGGGATCCCGGGCGTGCAAGGCGAGGACCTTAACCACTTGCGCCACCGCGCCGGGCACAAAGCCACTAT